ATTGCTAAGACACAAGGTAGAAAAAACCCCAAAACTGTCACAGCAAAACTTCCAAGACTACCCTTATTCCAGGAATGATTTTGAAAAACTTGGTACACCTCCTGTCTGGACAATAAGCCATTCCACCTTCAGCACTGCTGTGATGTTGATCCTATTTGAAGACTCCCCTTCTTCCCTCAGACAACTAATTGAAGAAAAATCTCCAGGAAAAGACACTTGCACTGAAAATTAAACAGCACAAAAATCTACAAACACACAGCACAAGATCTCACAAAACAGGACTTGAATTCCTCTCCGTTTGGGTGACAGTTTTCTTAGGCCTTGATTGAAACTGTGTGAATTTAAGAGACAAACCAAATCATAAGTATTGTCAAAGTAGTTGCTAAGACTACACACACTCAATTTAAGTAAGGACAGTAGAGCTCACAAGAAGCTCATTCCTTCACTGGTGTAAGAGACTGGAGGAATGACTGACTGGCTCAAAATAACCAGGTGGGAAGTCAGGGGGAACAGGGCGAGCTCTGCATAGGTAGGACAGCCACTGCTCCCTCCCTGTCCCTGGAGCCTTAGCGAATCTCTGGTCCAGTCCAACGTGGTGGGAGCCAACAGCATGATCTGCCCCAAAACGGTGGAGACTGACCCATGGCCTCTGTTAGCCCCAAAATGGCGGGGAGCGCCCCAGGGGCTGGTGTAACCCAGAGCTGTAGAAAGGTTCTCTGGGAGAAAGTCAAGCTGACCCTCAGAGGGGCTAAAAGGGAAGAAAGACATTCACCCTCTGACCAGTTTGTTATTGAGCCTCCTGAGAATTTTGTTGTTTCTCTCACACATGATCCAGAGTGAATCAATAATCTTACCCTAAACCTGCCAAGTGGGATAGGGCTTTACTCTGAGAGCTTGCCCCGTGAGATAAACTATAAAAGAAAGAGCATGCCACTTACAATTTTATAAAGGGAATATTCAAGGCTTTCACTTTTTCTCCCTATTGAAAGGCTCCTTTTCACAGAAAACTATATGAAGCAAACATTCTGTGTTATACAAACATTAAATAATGAACTTATAAGCAATCACCTCTTGAGTGGCTTTTTCCCCTCTTCTCTAGTCCTAGACACAAGGTCAATTAAAAAAGCAACAGCTTCCTAAGCTACAGCAGCAGAAAGCTCAACTCTCCACAGCTCCGGACTCACCACTTTATCAGCCCGAATGATAAAAAATAAACCAGTATACCCACTACCACACAGCTTCTTTGCACATGTACTGGGGCAAAGGAAAGAGATAAAGTTACAGCACAAGAGCAGTAACACACAACAATCACCCCATCCCATCCAGAGCTTCCTGACACTGAAGAGGTAGTTTCCATCCCCTCTGGGTACTTCCAGAGCAAGCTGCACAGTGTCACCCTATTCCTCCTGTGTCAGTGTCTGGCATCTCACCTCTGCTCTCCTAAGCGTGGACTGCCTGGCGAGAGGGTGAACTGCTGGTGGCAGTTTACCAACTGTACTAGAGCTGGACACAGCACTGCTTTATTCTTATAAGATGCAACAGCACATGCCCCACGATTCCATTAATCCAGCCTGAGTGAAAATGAAAAGCAGATGACCGTCTTTCCCTGCCCACAAATGAGCTTCCAAACAAAGTCAGTCAAGTTCAAGAGGGAAGCTGGGAAGTCCAGTGCACATTGCACATGCAGTCTCTTTTTTAACACTTGCAACTGTCTCTGCTTTACATGCACTCGTTAAAACATACCCCATACTAAATTACAACACTTACCATAACCCCTTTGGTCTGCTCGTGGTACTAAGAGAACTTGAAACCTGGCAAGGTTTTATTTATTTATGCAGTTTAAACATCTCAAGCCCTGCCAGGCAATCAAGACAATAAAACAAATTAGCATCTTCCAATGCCTACCCTTACAGAATGCAGAAAAATCAGTTTTACTGCAGTTCTTAAACAAAAAGGAGTTATTGAAGTCTAATCAAGGCAAATAATGAAGTAGTCGTTTCCACATATCAAGTCACAACTTTCTACCTCCTCCTTATTTAAGCCAAAAATGTTTGGGGAACTTGCTAATTTTCAGTTTCCTTTTCACTCTTCACAACATTAACTGTTTTGCATTAACATTTGAGGTCTGTTTAAAAGCATGTTTCATACTTGCCCACTTTCGGTTTGCTGCCATTTCTGAACTTCTTCAATACTGAAGTCCCCATGCACCACCTGTAACTTTCAGCAGAGAACCCTCCATATTTTTGTCACTAAATTTTCCAAACTTCAGCTGAATTGCAGATATTCTTGTTCAACAAAACCACAAAAACAGAAAGCCTTCACTCTCTATCAGTCCTTTATTCCATATAGTTCTACCATTCCCTTGAAATGGATAAGAATTCTACATCAAACCTTAACCCAAACTAACTGCTTTTCCCCCGTATCTGAGAAATAACCCTTAAAAATCAACACCTCCATCCAACAACACACTGACCATTGGGTTATGGAGGCCAAGAAGTCACCACAGGATAGGTATGTTTAAAACAAAAGAAGCCACCCAACTGCCTCCTAACTACAGCACTTCAACTTTATAGCTTCTTTACTTAAAAGGATGCTGTTCCCTTAGATAACATTATATTTATTCAAAAGAACTAGATTATAATGCTCCATACTTCTGCCTTTAAAACACTGAAATAAAATCATCTTATCAAAGACTACAGGAAAAGCACTTTGAAAGCAATTTTGTATCAACGTGGCAAACTTACCAAAGATCCCTCCCTGCAGCCTAACAAGGTCACCACAACTTGAGCCTTAGAGCATCACCACTGATGCTACTCTAATTACCAGGAGCCTCAACCCTCTACAGAACCAGGAGCTGCCTTCCTAAGAACACTCAGAAAAACCTGGAAGGAGGATGGGGTTCAACAATATGAATCAGACACATAATGCTATTAATCCCAATAGCTAAAAAAAAAAAAAAAATACAATATACCATACCACTGCTATCAGAACATCACATATCCCCTATGAAGTAGATTGGTTAAATTCATTAGATTAATTAACTTCACGTGTCATTAACGCTTCATAGCACAAGCTATAACTTGGATATGAACCTCTTAAATGGGATTTCATCCACACTGAGTATCAGCAACTACCTGACAAGTGTAAGAGCCTCAGTTAAACTGGGATTCAGAAACTGAAAGAAAGAAATGCCTTGTGCAAACAGGATAGGGGAAAAAAGTTTGTTCTCTGCCCTCCCAAGAGGAGTTACTAAACAGGGGATTTACAGTGTTCAGTATTAATTACAGATACCAATATGACTCATGTAAGAGCAGTAACATACTTACTACTAATGGTTACTAAGGCAAGGGATTGATTGTCAACAAGTAATTCCTAGATGAAAAGGTACTTTTTGATCCCTAAACTGTTGTGGTCAGTTAGGAGCACCCAAGTGGACACACCCTGTTAAAGCCCAGCTGCTCCCTGGCAATCAGGGAGCTGCCAGTCAGCCCCCCCCGCTCCCTCATGTCCCTGTGACCCCAAACCATGCAGTTACCCCACCTGTTCCTTCCCTCCAGGCCTCTTTGGATCCTCTCTGCTGAACAGCTCTGGTGTTGGCTTGGGGACTTTCCCAAAGATGCAGCAGGCTTACACTGCCCTGACTTTTATCAGTTTTTGTCCCAAGCATCCATATGCAACTTTTATTTCAGACTCTAAAGTAAGGAAGATAATTTGCATAACACTCAAATGTTAAAATTTGGACTCCCTCTGTCCCCAAGCCCTTAAGGACTATCAATTTGTTTCTGCCAGCTAGAGAAAGAAATAAAGTGATCTGTAGTGACTCTTAAAACAGCACAATATGAGAAAACGTTTTAATAATATGCTAAACTGCATCAAGCACTGTGCAATTTCTCTCCTTTCCACTACATATATGGGGTTTGTGTTACCTCTTGAATTTGTCCATGAGCTTATCGTCATTACTTTTTTTAAAAAGTCTCTATCCTGCCACCAGCTCTGCTGAGAAATTCCGGTCTGTCAGACCACAATGACTTGGAAGTAGCTCTCAGCAAGGATCACTCATGCTTTAGGCCATCAGCTATGCTGGTGGATAAGCCCTGACATCATCTTCATACCTCAATTACAAAATATTGCATTCTAAATACTAACCTCCAAATCTGCCATTCTACAATAACCTTTTCAAGATAGCAATGAAAATACAAGTGCTTACTATATGTTCTTATTTTAAACAGTACTATTATCTGCATGCACTTGTTAAAACTATCTCTTAAAATCTTCATCAAGAAATGCACATATGCAACCAAAGTTTACAAGTACATTTACACATAAACTAGTCTGAGCGACACACATAAAAGTGACAGAGGTGAATTATTTTTACCCACAACATCCAAAGCATGTGTTGTAACTACTCAGTAAGTATGAGCTATACAGGTCTAACCCTGAGCTCAGTGACCTGGGAAGTGAATTTATGCATTTTATCCATTGCACGGGTTACCAGCTGTGGGAAACGAAGACCACACTGTTTCCCACACACACAGAGGGCAAAACACAAGTATGGCTGATCTGCTGGTGACCCACTCCAGCTTCTAGCAAAGTCGTACAGCTAACAAAGTCTAGACAATCCTACGACTACATAAACTCACAGGACCCTTCCCGAAGTCCCAGAGGAGGTCGGACACCACGAAGTGCATGTTGACCACAAGAAGCCCAAGCCGAGCACCCCGCAGCAAGGGGAGGCTCTCCAGCGCAAGCTGCCAGCACCGCACCGCCACTCGTGACCCTGACAGCAACCAGCTGCCCTACACCAAGGAAAGCCATGCCTTTTATTTTTGCTGGTTTGTTGTGGTTTTTTCATATTAGCTGGCAGAAGGCTGACACAGGCGCTGGTGACACCTCACCCCGCCTCACTCACCCAGGGCAGCGTGCCGGGGAACTCCGAGCGCACTAAGGAGCCCCCGGCCGAAACAGCAACTCCCAAACCCCCCGCACCGGCCCGTCCTCACCTTCGGCCAGCGGCTCCTCGGGGGTCACCTGGTACCGCCCCACCGCCAGCGCCCTGCCCAGGGCCACGCCGCTGCCGGAGCCGCCGCACGCCGTCCCGCCGCCGCCGCCGCCGCTCCCCTCGGACTTGGGCATGCGGGAAAACTTCTTCATGGCGAGCGGGGCCCCAGCAAGAGCCGGGGAAGAGCCTGAGGCGAGGAGGCGGCGAGGGGGCTGCCCCGCTTCACATGCCGGCCGCGGCCCCGCTTCTCCTCACCCGCCGCCGGCTCCTGAGGGGAGGAGGAGGAGGAAGGCGAAGAGGAAGGAGGAGGAGGAGGAGGAGGAAGGAGGAAGACGGAGCAGCCGCAGCCCCGCCGGCCGGGGCGGCTGAGGGGACGGCGCGCGCTGTGCCGGGAGCGGCCGCCCCGCCGGCGCGCGGCCGCAGAGCGCAAGCGCGGGGCCGCCCCCGCCCCTCGCAGATGAGCCCGCGCGGCCGGAAGTGCGGCCGGGCCGGCACGTGCGGCGGGAGCGAGGCGCGGCGCGAGACCGCCCCCCCCCGCCCCTCAGGGCCCCGCCCTCGCGCGCTCCCTGAGGGGCCAGGGCGGGAGGCGCTGAGGGGACGCGCCCGGCGGGGCGCGCACAGCCCGCAGAGCCCCGCAGCGCCGCTCCCCTCGGGCCTCACCGGCACAGCCCGGAGCGGGACGTGCCCTCGGGAAGGAGTCTGCCAGGATCTGGTGAGGATCGCGGCGGTAAAAATGGCTTTCCACGCCCCGGGGTGTGGGAGCCTCCAGGGTCTGTGGCATGCTTTCTGAAGGGGAATTCCAGGGAGGTCGTGGAGTCCCCCTCTCTGGAGACTTTCCAAACCCACCTGGAGGTGCTGATGTGCCACCTGCTCTGGGTGACCCTGCTTTGGCAGGGGGGTTGGACTGGATGATCTCCAGAGGTCCCTTCCAACCCTAACAGTTCTGGGTTTCTATGAAATAACTGTGAAAAGCGTTCATGACAAGTATGAATTCCAGTGGTGTGTCTCCACAAATACACTATGCAGAGGTTTGAAGGGAACTGGCAGAAAAGAGGTAAAAGGATGGATCTGGACAGGAAACCATCAATGAAATGCAAAATGTTTGTTTTCCCACTGTGAAATGTACTGACCACGTAAATTTCCCTATTAACACTGACAAAACAAACTTGGAAATTTACTAACACAAGCTTGTTTCCCGAGTGAAGTCCTCAGGAAAATAAGAATTGTACTTATAAAACCATTTCTGAACCACAGGAAGCCCTGTGTCCCGCGGTCCCTCGCTGAAGTTTGATTGGAAAGGCTGGAGCCACAGCAGCTGGGGAGCCCCAGACAGAGGTACGTCACTGACAGTGTGCTGCTCCACGGCCAGCCTGGCTGCTGAGGGCACTACTTGTCACAGTTCCATAGAGACAACACCACAAAAACCCCCTGCACTCACAAATCACTTATCTCAAGTTTCCCCTTCAAATCCACATTCAGACTGAAGCCGAACATCATCCAAAAATGGTGAGAGATGACAAGCCTTGAAAAGGTGACTTCATTCCAAGCCTGTTCTCCTTGGGAGTCCCCCCTGTCTAAATAAAGCTGTGGTACTTGTGTATTGTTTTTTTTCCCCTTCCCGAATGCAAGCATACAGTAAAAACAAAACTGATATGGGACACTCTGTCAATCTCTCATATGAATAAATGGAGCTGCATTTTTGGCAGTTACAATGGGAATTTACCAACAAGGCCTTTCCCACAGAACACCTGGGTTTTGGATGGATATCAGTTACAGCCATCAGTTCAGTAAAAACTCTGGAGAAGTCAGAAGTGTAAATCTTTGGGATGACGTGCCGGTAACCAAATTAGTTTCGAGTTAATCATATTGCTACACTCTTAGTGGGTAAGAAAATGACTGTTTATTGAAGTGACAACTTGTCACACATCAAAAGCACCAATAAGCTCTTTGCACTAGCAGTCCCCTTTCTGTAGTCATTGCCATCCTTTCAGTAACAACAGATCAATTTTTCAGCAGCATACGGAGATTAATTCACAGTTTTCCTTGGGAGAGAACGGTATTTTGAGTTCAGATGAAAGGAACAGAGTTCTGTGAGAGGGATGGCATGAGCAGCAGTGTTTGTTAATGAGGGCATTCCTACAGTGAGATATCTTAGAGAAAAAAATGCAGCTAGGCTATAGGCACAGAAGTTTAGTGCCACTGAGTAGTACAATTTTGCTGGTCCTCAGTAAAAATAATGTATTTGCTAAAAGCCACTGTGACTTTGAGAGCAGGACTGGCTTTTAGGTTACCCTGGCGAGTTTTTATTTGGCTTTGGGGTCCCCATCCCCACCCATGTGTTTTTATTCTTTTTAAAGTAAGAGATTATATTATCACTGGATTTATTTATAGGCCAGACAAAATGAGCCCTCTTGTTATACTGGGATTAACGCTGCTAATCTCTGTCGTGGCATCCTGGAGGACACCGAGGTCAGCTCCTGGGCATAGCTGGCAGAGCAGTGTATCAGCACTGCACACTGAGCTGGGAGTGTGCAGTGGCTGCAGGGCTGGCTCACCTCCTGCCAGTGATTTCCAGGAGCCATGGCACAGCTCCCTTGCCTTGTTCCACAGCCCATTCCACCTCAAACCTTGCACCAAATGGTCTTTTTCCCTGGGACACCAGTGTGTTGTGAGGAGGTTTCATGTTATGGATTCCCTTTTATTTAAGTAGAGGTAAAGGAAGTTCAGTAATAAAGACAATTTTGACAGCTCACTTAAAAAATACAGGCCTGGCCCTCTAAGCAGGTGACAGGGGTAATTTTGAATGTGTATATAGGTTCTCTGGCTTTAATTCCTTACCTGAGCAGAACAACGCTTTGATATTTCTAGAAGCTGAGTTAATTTCCAAAAAGGAAGAGTTGTGAGATTTCTTTCAGCAAAGGTATGAAACCCAAAGTAAACTTTGTGCTTCCTTTTTGAAATGAAAACTCTCCTTTGGTTCAGGCAGAGCAGGGATGCCTCGGTCTCCTGTCTCCTGCATCTGGAATGTGTGTGGTAAAAGATCAGAAAGGTCTTTGCACTGCTTGAAAAACAAACAAAACAAATTTCAGTACCCTGAAAGCACCCACAAGCACAGTTATTTTCAGTTTTATGTGAAACAGTAGATGGTCTGAAGAAAAATGCAGTGGCAACAAAAGATCAGAAGGATGAATCCTCAGGTAAGGAGAGATCAGCTACAAAAGGTAGAGGACGTGTGGGATCGTAATGCAGAGGCTGCACTGAAGCCGGGATATCGGTGATCATTCGGGGCAGTGGGGGATGATGGTCTATATCATGTTTTGCTTCTTAAACCTTCAGCTTGATGAGTCGTGAAATCATAGGAGATACTGAGCTTTCATTATTAAAAAATAAAAATAAAAGAGCAATTAAGGTCAGCTTCTGCTTTTTATGATGGTGGAGTCCACACTGAACTTCCACTGCATGAAAACAGGAGAGACAACAAAAAAGTCCCAGCCATGTGCTGTGTATGTCTCCACCACAATATTGGAACGTTTGCCTTCTTCATTCCTTTTATTGCCTGGGGTCTAAAATAGCAACATGTTTTTCCTTTTCTAATAGCTGTGTAATGGCAGAGCTATATGGTGTATAAATGATTCCACTTACTGTCTCTATTCAGCACTTAACATACATCTTGAAGCTCCTGTCCCAGTTAGTGTCACAAAAGCAGGCCTAGAGGGGTTTTTAGTGCAGCAGCAGCTGTACTCTCAGTGTCCAGAGTGTTAGAGTGATTGCTGGTGTCAGAGGGTGTACCAGTGACTTTATTTCCCCACATATAAAATTAATGTAGGAATTAGCTACTCCATTGCAAAATACATTGAAGATTTATGGAGGAAAGCTCTAGCTGAGAACACTGCTTAAAAAATGAAACACCAGATATTTCACATGCACTTGGAGTTGGAAACGTGATGGTTTAATCCTCTTTAAACTGCTGAATAGTTCAAATGCCTGTACCTTGATTACTCAAGCAATTCTCTCCTTACATCTCTCCCTACTCATAACTCTTTCCTCTATACAATACATAAATTGGTTTTAGATCAATCACATGAGAATAAAACAACTTCCTGCAAAAAAGTTAAAAATCCCTTACAGAAAGTAGTTATTAAGGCAAAATAGAAGTAGGGAACTTCCTTTGTGTGGGTGTTGTTTTGGAAATGTCTCGGTGCTTCTGGATAAACTCTTTCCCTTCTAATTACCCAAGTTGAGTGTTAGAAACAAAAGGAAAAAATCTACTCTTACAGAAATATGTTATTTATATATTAAAACTTTAAAAGAAATTGGTAATAGAGGCTCTCAAGGTTCCTCAAGTTCAGGAATTACTGCAGTAAATTTTTGTCAGTAAATTTGGGGGTTTGAGGGTTATTTTCTATTTTGTAATAATTTAGTCAGTGTGAACAAAGCACTGCTGGAGACTGGGTTTGCCCAATAAGCTCTTTTAATTTTCCCTTCTTATCGCTTCATTGTTGCATGTTTATTTTGCTTCTGGTCCCATGAGAGCCGTGAGAAACATCACTTTACACATTGAAGTAGGCTATACAATCTCCCGATCTCAGAAAATACTGTGTCTGAGTTTTGTACTGCTGACCCTGCTGGAGTCTGTTTTAGGCACGGTTACTGAAACCACACAAAATGTTTATGATGAGCTAAAAGCTAAGAAAACCCCAGGAGACAACTGGTTTGGGTTTGGTTTTGCATTTTTTCTAGGATGAAGTCATATCCCAGCTCCACATCCTAGAGGCAGGAGTAGTAATGAAAGGCTTTTTTCCTTTGCTTACTTATATATACAAAGTAGCAGAAAGAGCTTGGTATGTTGTGAAACATGTTGGCATGGAAAATATGTTGACGTGGGGGGAATAAAACCAAAAAGACTGAAGTCACTGGAGCAGAGGGATGGCACAAATCAGGCAGAAAGCAAGTGCATCCTCTGGAGGCTCCCCTGGTTCAGAGGGTCTGAGCAGCGCTGGATGCTTAGCGTTGACCTTGGGAACACAGAAAAGTTCTCATTCCTTTCAGTTTCTATCAGCTAATTCTAATCAGGGAGGAAACAAAGGGAGCTGTGGAAAGCAACTAAGTTGCTGATTTCTGAAGTTGAAATGGAAACAAACTGAGGAGCCAGCTGGAGAAAATAGTCAAGGTGCAAATAGCTGACATCAGCTTTGGTGACACCCAGCGCAGCTCTCATTGACACTGAGGTCAAGAGTCTTTTATTGCAACACGAGATTCGGTCACTTGTACCACAGCCAGCGTTGAGACCAAACAAAATACAAATTCCTTGTTGAGATGACAACCCTTGTCCACTTCAAAACAGTAAGGGAAAGTGGGGAAAACACAAAGCAGCTGTGTCTGTAAGAGTCCTTGGTGAAAATCTGAGAGGAAGGAATAGGAAAGAGGGGTAACAGGCTCAGAATTGTTCGCATCTGACCTGGTAAATTGCTTTACATTTATATTAATCTGTTTCCTTTCTGGAACAGAACAGTCTCCTGTGTTTGTGCTGATGACCAGGCCTCTGGCTTTGTTTGATAGGGTAACATGTTCCTGCTTGCTTTGTAAGAGCAGTCTTAGATCTGTATTGGGCCTCCTGCAGTTGAACCTCTTCCCTGCCTTCCATTGTCCAGGTTCCTGGTTATTCCCAGCTTCCCAGGAGTCCAGTTGATTTCATTCTCTCCTAGAAACAAAGCCTGCTCTCACCCTTTCTTTAACAACTAACTTCTGCGGTCCTAAAAACATCTAAGGATTTTCTTTTATAGAAATGAAGTGTGCTCTGTGCAGCCTTTCGAAGGATGGCCACCATCCCAACTTATGTAATGAATAAGTCTTAGAAAGTTGCTCTCTTCCTTGAAAAAGTTACACGTGACTGAAACACGTGGCCTTTCTCAGCAACTCTTAAACCTCAAGGCACTGTTTATAAAGGGCCTGCTGATAGTACACAGAGATCTGGCTGGTTGGTACAGTGTTCCCAGTCCTGAAAGCTAAACTTTGTTAAAAGAACACTAAACTGCCCAAATTCCAGCACCAATACTACTCTGCTGCTTCTACAACTGCTATTGAGATTAAAAGGACAAAAGGTGAAGGTCAAGCACAAGTGCACAGCCTGCATAATATCTTAATTTCAGCAGCATACAAATTAGACTGTAGCAACCTTTGTTTAAGTACCTATGAGAGGTAAATACAGTACTTTATAGTGAAAAAAAATCCAAGCATCACCAAAACCCCCCTGAGGCATTGGTACATGCCAGAATTACTTGTGAATTAGCAGTAAAAAGTTTTGGAAAAGCCACAGCCATTGAGGTTTGAGAAATAATTTTATTTCAAATCTTTTTCTTCTATCCTATTTGCAGAGATAGGTTTTACTGTTAAGGGTTGTTCTATAAGATGAGCAATGGCCTTTTTTCTCCCCATGTATTTTTTGAGTCTTAGAGAACTGCAAAAATATCCCTGGTCATTAGTGCTTATGCTAAAAATACTTACTTCTTTATATAGTCTTATAAGCTTCAAGGGAGGGGAAAAAAAATCCCTGGAACTGAGAGCTTGGGAAGAAAGAATGTCTTTTGGGTCACAAGTG